GAGAGAGAGAGAGAGAGAGAGAGAGAGAGAGAGAGAGAGAGAAAGCGAGAGAGAGAGAGAGAAGGGTATATAACCTGATGTTGTAACAGGAGTAGGTGCTCCCTAGCATGTTGGTCGTGTGGTTAGACTCGGTGCAGGCGATAGACTTTCCCGCCAGGCTACTCGGAAACTCGAACAAGTGCTGTTCCTGAAAAAACATGAAAACTATCTCATATAGCAATTTTAAAAATAAATTTAAAGAAAGAAATGTAGCATCTATGCTTGATAATATTTTTTTTGCAGTTTTGCGTGTAGATGTAATATACTTGGTCTACGAACCGTTGGTTGGACATCACTTGTAACTGCTATCGTCGGTGCAGCTGTCATCGAAAAATCAGACATCAGAGGCGACGATGGTGTTAATAGCCTGGTGCTGCCATCTGGAATATATATATATATATATATATATATATTAACCCAATTAAACGCCGAAGTTAATCAAGCACGTTACCATCGCAACAACAGGTTTACCAACTGTGTTTACACTGGGAGTTAATAAGCTAATACACATTGCTTACTTAGCTATCAGACTCTGATTATGATATGCTATTATCAGGAGTGCCATAATAAAGTCAGGCGTGCCTATATTATGACACTCCTGCTATTATTGTACCACTTCACACCCTCGCTTATATTAATAGTTGTAAAGGTGAATGAAGAGTAGTATATTCCGACAAAATTTTACACTACACTACAATACTCGCCCCCATAGAGACAATTTACTTACCAAGACAGTTAGTGGCCGTATTGTATGCGGTATCCACGTAAGTATATTCATACTTCCTAACGAGAAATAGCAAAAATCAGGATCAGCATGTACCCATCGATTTCCTAAGTGTGATGAGATTGTGTTTTAATTATACACGGATATAACGTAAATATGAAATTATTTACATTGTCACTTCTACCCTACTTGAACGCTTGAGGCAGTGAACTAGACAACAACAACGACGACGACGACGACGACAACAACAACAACAACAACAACAACAACAATAATAATAATAATAACAACAACAACAACAACAACAACAAAAATAAATCACCACCACACAGTAAGCGATATATGTCGACACTTCCATCATTGCGATACGAACACATATCGCCGTAGTTCGTTAATTTCACCGATATCACCGGTTGCTTGGTTGATTATACGGTCTATACGACAGCATCAGCACGTGTACATACTGCCAGCCCGTGCAGGTTTTATATCCACAGAGATGATAGAGCGTACTGTATGCATACGCCGTCTTTGTGATATCGTAAGGGTCAAGTGTTCTGCAACAACAACAACAAAAAGAATTTGTTAAACATTTTAATTTTTGTTAATCGGTTAAAATATTTTAGCATAGATCTAACATCTCAAGTGTATTCAATCAATAATAATTCATAATTTCGAATGAAAATATTGCGAATGATATTAGTGTGAGGCTATCTATCTATGTACGGGTTGGGGGTACATATAAATTCATATACTCTATCATGAGGTTAATTAAGATTAAACCTGTTTAATTTAGGCTCAAAATTCAACCATATCAATTATTTTATATTAAGAGTATAATCTGTTCAATTAAGGTGGATTACTGACTGGTTTTACTTACATTGTTGTATGCAGACAAGCAGACGATGATACTTCTCCACCCACTAGACCAGTAGCGTGTGACATAAGACCCAATAAAGCAATCAGAGCAACAATAATTGCTGCCATGTTGTTAACAGCGTAGATACGTGTTATGTACTCGATGTTACATTCAGCGGTCACGTGTCAGGGAAGCCATTGGCCTTGTGACGTCATGCGGATACGGGGAGCAATGTGGCGCCATCGGCAGTCAATGTTGTTACAGATTTTCGATATAACCACAGTGGGCGTGTTTGTGTGCGAGCGATCATAAGTGTATGCACGTGCTCATGCGTGTTTGTTCCGGCGTTTGCGTGTGTGCATGTATTCGCGTGTGCGTGCGTGCACGCGTATATGCGCGCGCGTATCGTGCGCGTGTGTTCGCATGTGCATGCGTGGGCATGTGCATGCATGCATGAGATAGTCCAGTATATCGTATTATCGCTATATTAAAGCTGTTTTGCGAGAAATAGTGCGAGCAAAGAAAAGCTCTCATCATCGCACCTTGACGATTATGTTTGCATCCTGTTTGGCGGTGATAATGAAACGACAACATCCGCAGTAATTCGTTGTTGTTTTTCGTGCAGCTACGCCGTCAATACCGCTCGCCACTATCACTCCCGAAGCACGGCGGGCGAGCGTGCCTTTACGAGCTGACGACGGGCATATGTGTCTATGTAGGGTGCGCTGCTGTGCCGCCACCGATGCGCCCACGTGCGCATACACACACGCGCGCGCGTATACACACATATATATATACAACCGAGGTACGCCTGCGCGCCTGCGTGTGCCCATCAATACCAGCATCAGCAGCAACAGCGCACAGATGGGTGGCTGGTCACTCGCTTAGAAGACGCCGCCGACGCCGTGTGAAGGTTCTGCCAGTTATTTCACTAACGGTGGTTAGCCTCGGTTTCTCTGCTCCACGACTGAGAGGCTAGAGCTGCTCGATAGAGGGAGGGAGAAACGTCTGCGGACTGCGATGATGAGAGATACGGGCCGATGTTTATTAATTAATGGTTCGTGTTAATTAGAGGTTCGTGTGTGTTTCAGGCCACGACACGCCTAACCGGACGATCAGGTGAGTCGATACTAGCGGAGGTGAATAATGACAATTAATGACAAATTCTGACAGAATAATGACAAATTCTGACAGAATAATGACGAATTATGACAAATAATGACAAATAATGTCAATTAATTACAATTAATGACAAATAATGACAAATAATGACGTTTAATGACAAATTTTGTCATTATCCACCCTTGATACTAGTGAGTATGAATATGAACAATAATTGACGCGCTCACACGCGTTCCCTCCCGCGCGCCCACACGCATGTAACCAAGAGTGCATAATAGATTATCTATTATCTATTATCTATTATTATTTACAAGTGTTATATTATTATTATTGTGCATTATAGATTATCTATTATGCACTCTTGATGTAACCCTTCATACACACGCGCGCACAGACACGCGTGCTCAAGCACACATGCTAGCAAGTGCAGACGCATGCACTGTCATACAAGCAAGCAAGCAAACACACGCACACGCGCTCACACACGCAGGCAAGACAGTTAAGACGCATGCACGCGCGCGCGCAAGCACAGGCACAAGCATCGCGCGTCACGACCACGCCAGGCCTAGAAGTGCCAGCGCATGACAGATGCGGGCGCGCCAAGGCAAGTGCGCACAGCGCGCGCTCACGCAGCAGGGGGCAGACCAGTTCGACGCTCGATGCACGCGCACAATTAAGCAAGCAAACGCGCACACACACGCACTATTGGGCACACATATTGCGGTTTATTTCGATAACAACTCGCCCCATATTTTTCGGAATTGCTCGCCGCGCACATGTGCCGCGCAAGATTTTTCTCTTTACACACGATAATATCAAACGTATGAGCGTTTACCAGTTACCAGCGCCATATATCCATTGTGTTCGTTCTGTTATTAGGCGAAAGCCGCCTGTACCGTGTAATATATTCAAGAATAACACTCATATATTACATAATAACGTGATATACTCATAGTCAATTGTATTATGACCTCATATTGGATTACGTTTGATTTCACGGATTGATTCCTATGAAGTTCACATCGTGCTGGCTGCGGTACTCCTCTATAAAGAGTGGGGATGCCATTTTACCTGTTTGATAGTCGTGGTGTGGTCTCAGATTTCAAAGACATGATGTTGTGTGGTCGCATTTGGTAGTCTTGGCGATAACACGCATACGTTTCTTCGTAGAACATCTCTCGGGTTTACTAGCAGACCTATGAGATTTAAATGGCGATTTACATGTACGTAATATTTCCGGTGGAGGTCGCGTAGATTGGCTATCGAGGGTTGTGTCATTCATGCGTGCGTACGGTGGCGGTGCGTGGCGTTTTTTACATGCCGGTGCCTACTGTATGAGGCGCTCGCGCGAGCCTATTCAGAGGCGTGTGTATGATTTACATGCGCTGACGCGTGCCGTATCAGGGCGTGGCGTGCGTTTAACAGCGCAGTGCGTGCCTTGGGTGTAGGGGTGCGTACGTTTATTTTCAGCGTGTGCCTGTTGCTTTGTGTGGCGGTCTGTATGTTTTAATTGCGTGCGTGCTGTATTCAGGCGTGCGTTTTGTTTTTAACACGCGGGTGCTGCGTGCCTTCGGTGCTAGGTTAGGCGTGCGTACGTTGATCTCACGCGCGGTGTGCGCTACTCGGTGTGGGGCGTGGTGCGTTCGTACAGGTGTGGGTGTACGCGTTGGTTTTACAGCACTCTATGTGGCTTTCAGGCCAGATGTGCGTACGTGGATAGCCTGCTCGACGTCGGGATATATCAGTTGCGCGCGTGGTGTATTGTCGAGGCGTGGACGTGGTTATTACAGTGGTCGCGTGGCGCCTATTACATGCGGGTGCGTGCGTTCCATACAGGTGCGTTCGCTGGCGTTCATACGCGCAGTTGCGTGGGGCGCTTATACATGCGTGGTTGCGTCTACAAGGCTGATGCGTCTTCATACATGCGTGCGATGCGTTTATCCATGCGGTGCGTGCGGTATTCAGGGCGGTTCGTGCCGTTCGTATTCCATGCGTGCGTGCGTTCATCGGCGTGCGTGCGTTTATACATGTATGCGTGGTGTATTCAGGCGTGCGTACGGTTTTCAGTACAACGCAGTGTGTATTTTAGGCGTGGTTACGTTTTATCATGCGTGCGTGGCGGTTCATACACGGCGTGCGTTTGCGTTGTATACACGCGTGCGTTGGCTGTTTGCATACGGGCGTGGCGGTGCGGTTCATACATCGCGGTGGCGTGCGTTCGTACCGGCGTGCGTGCGCTGTTCATTACCCGGCGCGGTAGTGTGTTATACAAGGCGCGGTGTGGTGGTTATACAGTGGCCGTGCGTTGGTTTACAAAGTGCGCGTGTGGTACTGGTGGTATAGCGAGAGGGTGCGCGCTCGCTCGTGTGTGGTGATACAAGGCGCGTGGCGTACGTTCAGGACCGGCGTGATTGTGTTGTGGTCTCGTGTGCGTGGCTGTGTGTATAGCAGTGGCGGTGATGGTGGTTTCAGTGCGCTGTCCGTAGGTTCATACGGCGTGGTGTATACAAGTGCGCGTGTGTGGTGTATACAAGTGCGCGTGTGTGGTGTATACAAGTGCGCGTGTGTGATGTATACAAGTGCGCGTGTGTGGTGTATACAAGTGCGCGTGTGTGGTGTATACAAGTGCGCGTGCGTACGTTCATACCGGCGTGTGTGTGGTGTATACAAGTGCGCGTGTGTGGTGTATACAAGTGCGCGTGCGTGCGTGACCCATCCCCAGTCTTCCGGTCTAGAGGTTTACCGGGAGAGGTTATGTATCCGGTTTGTCTCGTGGTTCGTCCAGTATTTACCTGCATTCTATAAAAGAACTTATATGTACACACACACCGCGATTGCACAATGCGTCATATGTAAATCTACAACACGCTAACACTGTTCGATTTTTGGCATGAGAAATTCATGAGAAGCTAATGCAATTACCAACCATGCTGGTAAGTCGAGTATCGATGTATGGATTAGTGCCATCATGAGCGTGTTAAGAAGGACCTTCTAAATACGCTCTTGGTGCTATATGTCGCCCTACGTGCGCACCAATACAATCCTATAATGTCATCGGTTGTATACATCACCTACTATAGCTTCTACGGTTACCCCCTCCCCCTCTCCCATTTCCCGTCACGCATGGTACCTCTCCCTCTCCCATCCCCCATCACGGATGGTCCCTCCCCCCGTCAGAGATGGGAGGCACACATTAGGAGTTAATTATATTTTGGGCGGATGCTACGAGATTACCGTGCACCGTTACCGTGGTTACCGTAAACATTTTCTAGTCACGATTGATTTACGTTGCTGGGCAATCAATGTCTACCATTGATTGATGAGGCAATCGATTACTAATGGCGCCTTGCCATGCGGACCTATCGATAAATTCTAAATAAAGAACCTGAATCTGAATCTGATAAGATACCATGTAACATTGAATTTAAACCATGTTACTTATTTAACTGAAAAATATAACATTCTGTTAGTTGGAATTAGATCCAGTTTGATTTATCTATTTCATATCTGACTAAATATCTTCATTCTTGTTGAATATTTCCCATTGTACAAACGCACTCACGCCATTGCTGTTAGTTTTTTTTTAATAAAAAGCGTGACCGCTGATATATAACAGCCATTAACGCAATGAAACTTGTATAACGATCAAATAACGTTTAACGATGCCAACAGAAGTGCCATCCATCAATCCTCAACATCAGACTACTCGCAATAAACGGCCACGTATTTTGCCATTAGCCCTGACGATTGCAATTCCATACTGAGCGCGTGTGTACACGTATGCGCGCATGGCTGCAATTGCTATTCCATACTGAGCGCGCGCGCGTGTACACGCATGCACGCATGGCTGCAATCGCTATTCCATACTCAGCGCGTGTGCGTGTAAACGCATGCACGCATGGCTACAACCGCTATTCCATACTGAAAATTTCTGATAGATTACACGTTGAAACGTGTTGTTTTCATGGCTTACAGGCCACAAGCATCACAAACATTGCAAATCACATCTACCAATCATGAGGGCCGACGTTACAGTCCCTAGTTG